GTGTCCACAAACCTTTGGCCATATTGTGTAGATAATACACAATACACAATATAAGCAAACAGCTTATTGGAGATTTGAAACCTACTTTTTAAGTATTACTTGAGTATTACTTCACAGAGAGGTCTGGCAGAGTAATCCACAGCCTTTACTTGGTAGCTGCTAAATCAGAGGATAATTCACTGCAACCTGATAATCCATCTACAGAATAATCCATCTACCCAGTAGAAAGTGTTTTTAAGATTAAGCAAAGCAACACAAACTGGCAATAAAGCAGTGTTTATGACACAATCTGAGATGTATAACATTAATTTCTCAATTCTGCTGTTGAGTCTGAGTCAGCTACACAACTAATAGCCTTTTCTACACAAGACACACAGTCCCTCTTAACCGAGCTGACAAAGATAGGCCTGAGGATGGAAGAGACCAGTGCTCAAAACAGTGTGTGTGTGTGTGTGTGTGTGTGTGTGTGTGTTTATGTGGCAGGCTTAAGATTCCTGAGTGTATCAAGTATTTAGTAGATACCTCTTTTTCAAGGATATCCAGCAAAACAAAACAATAGAAAGCCACCCTCGACAAATTAAAAATAATAAATAATGCCCACTGGGACACAACAGGACAATATCATTATATAACTCCTAATTATAAATGCAATAACAGATTTCAACAGTCATAGCAAAATTTAGCAATTTTGTCACAGAAAAAAAAAATTACAATTGAGGACTGTAATTAACAGAAACTTGAGAACCATTTTAAGCAGCTGATTATATCTTAAAGACAGAATTAACCGATAAGGTGTACTAAACAGGTACAAATACAGATACTAATAAGAGGCACAGTATTCATTTTTTAATGCTTGTCAGAAAGGTTTACAGGGAATCTGGGATTACTTTTTTTACTTGCTTGTTGGACCAAGCAAGTGGTCAGCTATGAAGCTTGTGGGGACAAACAAAGACCATGTTCAATAACATGAATGTGTGGTGCATTTACAGATTTTATTCTTTTATCCTTAGTAGATGTTTGGTCAGGGTCTCTGTGGTTTAAATTAGGCTTCCAGTTTGTTTATATTTTGAGAAATAGAAATAATTTAATTCATTAGAATATATCGTCTGCAGGTACACACAAATATAATAATTGTGTGAGAAGCAGTTCTCTAGTGGACACCAGCTGTGGTGTAACTGAGGTTGAGGAATTGTCAGAGCCAGAATTTACAAACTGTGCTGACAGAGCTGACTTTTCTGCCTGTGGGACTTTTCTCAGCGTCTTCCAGTGTTTCTGGGGGCATAGTGATAAGCTTCATATTTCAGGGGTTAGGCCAGCAGTGGGTAGTATTGCCTCCTCACAGCTCCAGGGTCCTGGGTTCAGTCTTGGGGTACTGTCTATGAGGAGTTTTGCATGTTCTCCAGTGTTCACACAGGTTTCCTCCAGGTTCTTTGGTTTCTTACCACTGTCCAAAAACATGCACGTGGGTGGACTGCCTATGATAAATTGCCCCTGAGTGTGAATGAATATGCGAATGTGTGTGTGTGTGTGTGTGTGTGTACCTATCTGCTTACCTCCCTCCCTACCTATCTGTTAATTTAAGTTAATTAGTAACAACTGTATAGTATGTTTTTTATATGTAGTATGTATTTTCAATCTTTGCAGTTGCTTTTCAATCTTTGCAGGATGTTTCTCTCCTCTGAAACTAAATCCCAAGTTCATACAGTAATTAGAATAATGAAATGCTCACTTGCCCCACTTAGACGCCCATTTGGCTAAAACTGGCTCATTGATGGAATGTGATGCCTAAAGCGCCTGGACTCTGTAATGAGTAGTTAGCCATATTACATTTGGACATAATCTCGAACTCTTTCTATATTTTATGAGATGGAGGCTTTTTATAGACCCTGACAGACCTGTGGCAACTAGACAGAGCCTGGTGTTTCAGCATCAACAAAGGCAAGAAATCAGCAGACAAAGAAAGGGAAGGAAATGGAGCATTTAAAAGAGAATAAGTTCATGATTATAGCTATACATTAGTTAGTGTTATGTGTGTCAGCTCTTTGAATAGAGCAAACTAAGCTGCAATTTAATTACTGCTGCATTACATGGAACTCTAAAATTAATTCTGTGTGGCTGATGTGATTTACAGATAAACAGAAATTAAACAGAAACAGAATTAAATACCCTGGACACTGTAGCACTACAGTTAGCGATTGCTATGTCCATTAGTGCTATTTTGGCTGCTTTTGCATTCAGAATACAATCAAGTGATTTCATTTAAGTGCCACAAATCCATGTTGACCATTCTGCATTAACTGGCTATCATACTTGATTCTAAGAGATGCAAGTCTGCCATTATATACTTAGCTATAACTTGCTTTATGTTGAATCAA